CATGCACAGATAGTGGCGACACACCAGCATTAGCATGCATTGTTTTCCGAAAGATTTCTGTCTGTTGCTTGCCTATAGTGAATGACAGCTCCACCTACGAAGGCAATGGGTTCGTTTTGTTCGAAGACATCGATCTAACTTTGACCCTGAAACGTCTTCTTCAAGAATATGGTTGTGCTCGGCACATTTTGACGAGAGCTATTTTATTCGAGAGCTATTTTATTCGAGAGCTCTAGAGCAATTTACAAGGTTTCGATAGCAGTTACACCAAGCGTTTCTTGACTCAAGGCTCAGTTCCAACGATCAATCGTTGTTGAAACGTAGGTGTCATTGCCATAGCGATTGTACGAGAAGTAAAGAGACCGCCAACTTATGGTAAATAATATTTCAGTTGCATTTGCATAAAGACCTTATGGGTTAATACGTATAGGCATGTTCAATTGAAAGGTCAATTGAAAGGGCATAGTTTTTACATACTCCACTAGGTGACTGGGGCATATTATTTTATCTTTCTGCTCAACCAATATTCCATTCATATCATATGCAGGTGCTCTTTGTTTTTAAAGGTTGGTGGGGGGATTGGTATTAGAGGAAGATGGGCAATGGGGTTTTTGGTACAATATGGTTAACAAATTGTCTATGTTTTATATAAAGTATGTCAACTGCATAGCCATAGGAGAAATTATGTTTACTGCATGTTGATAGCACAACGTTGGAAGAGATTGGCAAGCAATATCAGTCTTTGCAACCGAAATCCTTGACCAGTCAGTTTACAGAACGTTTAGCGAAGACAGAAGCGGTTGAGAAATATTTAAAATTATTTATATTTAAAATTATTCACAGGGTTAAAATTAGTATTAGAAGAGGAAATAGCAGACTATGTAATGTACCAAAATGCAAGACCGGCCAAACCGTTGCCCCATATAAATCTCAGTGTATAAAACACTGACATCATTATTGTGTTTGAGTAGAGCAATAAGATGTATAATCCACCCTTTTGGCTGGCCTTTGTATATGTTTTGAAGGCATATCGGAAACGTATCATTATAGTTGTTCGATATAAATAAACATGGCTCTATTACTGTATTATTAAACTATTAAAAACTATCAGTATCCACATTTGGAAAGTGTGTTTTGTCGAAATATAAAACGTAAAAATTGCAGTAATTCTATAACCTTGACAGCATGAAATGATCCACAATACTCTTTTGTAAGGAGTTCCTGAACGTCATTTATAGCTTTGCGCCAGCACAGCCTCGTTCGTCATGGCCTTGTAGTCTTCATGTAATGTCAAACATGAAATTTTCTCCGGCGATGCTCCCATCGAATGTTAGTTTCTCAAGCGCTTCAAGAATTTCGTGGCAACATCGGTATTCAAGTAGCCTGCGCGCAAACTATATAATATTAGTATTCAAGTGCATCAACCAAGTTTCGATCCGAGCCCGGCTTCCTAGCTTGGTCGTTTCTTCGCTTATATCGTCCATTATATCTTCTCCCTGAGGAATTAATGGTTCACCTTCACACGGCATATAATGAGCGCCAAAAACATACGCACTTGAATCGCTTGAATCCGAAATAGCAACAGAAATATCACTACAGTCGACGACATTGTGCTATATTGTTTGTATTGTGTTGACTCGTATCAATTTCTCGTGCCCTGCTAATTACGTCACGCGTATTCGATTCGTTCCCAGTCTTCAGACCACTTTTTCAATATAAAAACGTTACAAAAGCTTACAAAAACTACTGTTTGCTCTTAAAATTTGACATTTTTATTATCAAATTCGAAATCTCCGTTGCCAAAAGTACCAAATACTGAAATAAAAAATTTCATTTCATAGGCACTTTAATAAAGCATTATAAAGACAGTAAATTTAAAACGGATGAACCAGTGCCGTCAAAGATGTAGTATATGCGCATGTTTTTCTTCTTCAACTTCAAAGGGTTAAAAAGTTTAGTATTTATCTGTATTTTCTATATAAAGCGTGAAATATTTTACAATCTTCAAGAAAAGAAAATGGCACCCGATCGATACGTAACTACGCGAAACAATCAGTATAACAATCATTCATCATTGTACCTTTGAATCAATTGTAGTCCTGCTTAAATATTCATCCATGCCAATTGCTATATCTTTAGGAACTTGTTAACAATGGTACCTAGAAAAGAATTGTTTTCATTTTCTGAAATGCCAACTTTCAGATATACAAATAGCTAGCTATTCGGCCACCAACTTGAAAATGAACAGATTTTGTAATTGATTATAGCAATAGAACAAAATAAAACTGAAGACTGAATTTTCTAAAGCGTCAGAAACACGGAATATTTTTGTTTAACCTAACAAATCACAAAAAACATATGCATGTTCATTTACCTAGTTCAGTTACCTGTAATTACGTCCTTGACACTAACTGCACAAATATAAATTGAAAGGTTTTTGCAGATGGAAATTTCGAGCGGACGATTATATCGAAGTTTTAGACCTATCGAGAAACAGTTACAAAAATTACAAATGAAGGCCCTAACAGAGTACAGCGCTCTAACCAACTGAGCTACAGAGTTCAGTTGACAAGTATTAACTACAATTTTTTGTATGCTATATTGCTATATAGTAGGTGATGGAAGAATATTAAAAAGAAGAATATTTATCTGGCTTAAAGCCTCCGTTCTCGGTGTTTAACCTATACATAAACCGTATCTACACGATTTTGATGCAAACGCTGTTTTTTCTTGGTAAAAATATTGTTTTTACCTGGGTTTGTGTGGCAATGGTCAAAAGAGTTTGATTTCTTTCTCTGATGTGCGAATCTGCATGTCTATACACATGTGAAAACTGACAAGAATTTCTTGCACCACATCAGTTTGTCCCAATCCCCATTTATTCATACCTTTGTGATTTTAATTTCTGGATGACTAAAAGCCGAGACATACCGGACGCGATTCGACAACGCGACGCGATTTTTCAGTTTTTGAAACGTTATTGAAACGAAATGTTATAGCGCTTCTAAATATTTGAAAAACGTAAACCAGGATCAAACTTATCGCGCCGCGTTCTCGAATAGGGTCCGGTGTGTCTCGGCCTTAATCGCACGTAAGTAAAATGACACGATACACAAATTATTCAACGATATTAGTACATTTCTGGTTCAAATTCGCCATCTCGAATTTCTAGTAAAAACTGTCTAAACGTTGTCGTATCTATCCAAGAGGAAGAGGAGGAGGAAGAGGAAGAGGAGACACAAGACTAACAAAATCAGTAACTTCAAAAACAGAACGTTTTTTAAACATTAATTAAGTTAAATAATTCAGTAATAAAATTGACATAAAATTCACAAATAGATACCAAGTACAGTTACTAACTACATTTTACAAGAACCAGAAAGATATCTTCGGATGCATATGCATTAACAGCTTTCTTTTTACACATGCAAAATTTTCGTAAATGTGGTAGATCTCTCGCGATGCATTCTGGTTGATTACCGTATTTGCTTACTCTACTAATACCCTTGCTTACAATAAACCATTCCTTGTGGTATCGTACTGTTGCTTCGTATGTGCCGTTATTTGGGGAGGTCGTGAACTGTATTTGATAGCGACAAAAATCTTTATGATGCGGTCTTGATTTATTGCTAAATGCGGGCAGTAAATCATTTGTTTGTTTAAATGATAAAAGTTTGTCATTTGGTCGTTCTAACAAAGCGTAGTTTATGTCTTTCAGTGTTAACTTTCGACAGTTGTTAGCGCTCAGTTGATGTTCAAGATTAGCATTGTTCATGAACTCTACTGCCGCGAGTGCTGAATTGTTTACATGACTATGTCCTGGAGCTATACTTGCCCACTCTAAACATGGACACCAATGTTTTTCAACACTAGCTTCAGCACAGGTGCGTGATGAAGGAACTTCTGTAAACAAACTTTGACCATGTTTCAGGTTTGTAGGGACGTCTGGGTAACTAATCATGTGACGAAATGTAGCGTACACGTCATACCATGACGTCAGACGATTGGTATTTATTTTTAGATTCTTGGAAATCCCTGGATATTTTTCTAGAAACCATGATGGAAATGTCAATGAAAATAGTGGAAGTCTTTCTTCTAGTTTTCCCTGCATCAACGTACGTGCTTTGCCATAGCGATTGCCATGATCTCCCATGACTATCAGTAAAGTGTTGTTTAAATGATTATTTTGTTTTAAGTCCTTAAGAAGTGAGAGCAGGTCGGGCTCAATCTTTGCTGCCTCGCTGTTAGCGTTGTGGGAGTAATGTACTAGAAAATGAAGAGAAAAAAACAATCAGAAATCTGACATACACAGGGGCGCCGGAGCCACGGGGGCAGCGGGGGCAACTGCCCCCGTTGCGAAACAGTGCGAGGGCGGCAGAGGGGCAACAGGTTGCCCTTTTTCGCCAGAACTGCGCTTCGATATTTGTGTGTTATTCACATGAATTGGAATTTATCACTATTGCAATGTTTAAGCAATGTTTGCTTAATTTTAATCAGTTATAGTAAAATTAATGCCAGAGGCCGCGGAATCACTTTTGTATAATTATGATCAAAATCAAACGATTTTATGTCGTTCACGAGCCGAACAAAAATGGAGTCCAGAAAATAACGTCAGAAATGGCCTTTACAGAGTATTTACTACTGCAAAAAGGGCACTTTCTTTCTAGCCCCCAAAAAGGGCATTTTTCACTTTTAAAAACTAGTGGGGAGGCACATGCCCCCATTGCCCCCGGTTCCGCGGCCCCTGATTAATGCTAAATCAGGCAATGTACCTCCGTTTACTGATTTAATTTTGCGCGCTTAACATGGTGCAATCTGGTGCAACAAATAAAATTGTTCAAAATTAATGTCGAAGTTTGCCGATCCAATTGCACAATAGCCAAAGTAATCGGCTATCCATACAATAACGTTTTAAAAAATATTGCCGCCCAGAAAAATGATGGCTGAGAAGCAAGTGCCCTTTTGAAATGGCTGCCCCCGCCGCTTCACATTGCTTCAGGCACCCCTGGACATGCATGAAGACACGAGAGAACATACAATCGTCGTCGGCAGACTTAGCATCTAGGAATGAATATGATGATGTACAGCTATTTCAATTAAGGTTGTCCCCGAGCAAAGCGGAAAAGTCGAATGGGAGCGCGAAAAGCTTACTGGAAATCGCTAAAAAATTAATGTTTTTTTTTCAATGATCGTATTCGACTTTTCCACTTTGCTCGGGGACAACCTTAATTGAAATAGCTGTATATCAAAAAACATTGTCTATTCTGATAAAAAATCCATTCTTACATGAAACTTCAATTACTGTAATGAGCATTTGAAACTTTCAATTGGACATTCCGCTTGTGACTAGTTAAACATGATTGGCTGAAACATTAAAATCACAAGTAGAGGCAATAGTTTTTATCTCCAATTGTTCTTTTCCCGATGCAAACGACAATGTTCCATTAAACATTCAGCGAAGCAGTTTGATCCTAGTTTTGAGACCTCTTAACTTCTTCCCATCTGAGCTGTAACCTTGGACCATGTGCTGGGTGTCCCAAAAAAGTACCACCGTTTGATTTAATATAGTGAAATCCTAGTTTTCGAGCTAAAAGATGTCAGTAAAGTTCTCATGAGATTCTTTGTGCGAGTTTAGAAGGTGAAATGAGGATATCTTTCAATACTTCATTCCACCCTCCATCCCAAAAAGCGGGATTGTATAAACGGGCACTTGTAATCACCTTTGGAATAATAACCTAGTTGTGAAGGTTAAAATTACTTTATCTTTAATATTTTAATCCGTGATTGCTTTGCCGTTCTACACTGGACACGTTAATTAAAATAAAATAATATACTAATGATCTTATCTTACCGTTGAATGAGAAAAAGAACTTCAGTTTATTCTTGAACATATCAAAGACTTCTCGAATATAATCAAACTGAACTTTAGATATAGTCCTGGAAGCTAAGCAGATGTTCGGGTTTTTAATCAGCTGTGCAGCCATGGCATAAAATGGTCTTGTGTAGAAATCGGTTGGTGGATTCTTGAAGCCCATCAGTCTGTATTGCCATGGACCCAACCCGGGACAGTCACCAGAATAACCGGTCAAGTAACCAGTTTCTATATAATGAGCATATAACAAAAGTGATGCTAATAACAGTGCTATACTGGTCAATAAATAAGTGCTATACTGGTTTTCACTGGACGCTGTCGCACAGCAGGTGGTGTTCAACTAGCAGTTATTAGATATTTAACAATTATTCAATGATGTTGAGCATGATATGAAGAATTTTCAAGTCGAAGTTTGTGTCATCAATTATTATACTAATATATGTATAGTTCCGACCAATACCTCAACAGTTTATATTAATTACCTTTAAGTTGTTTATATATCCACGACCAACCATCAACAGGTTTGGGGTTTTTATGATGACGTCTTGACTCGTGCTGCTCTAGCTCTCCTAGTCCAGTTAACATTGCGGTCAGTTGCTCCGTGGTTCCATCCCCGACTATAGAATGTCCATTAAATAAGATCGATCTAAGCTCGTTTTTAAGATACTTATACACTTTCGACAATTTTCGTTTCGTATTTGAATGAGACAGTGAATCTACACCAATGATTAAAATGTTCAAAGGGATTCCTGGTTGCTTTTGTGCGCTTTTTTTCAACAAATGTTCATGTGGAACTGGTTGTAGAAAGATTTCCTTAACACGGTTTTTGTTCTTGAGAAAATATTCAACTTCTATAAATTCGTCTGTGATTTTTTTTACAGTATCCATTGCAGGTATAGGAACACTTTTACCAAGAATGAATTTAAAATTTCCTTGCCTGACTATTCGTCGATAGTTCGCTGAAATGACGGTCGGATCTAAAAGAATGAAAAACATTATGATGCAATGCCAACGCTGGGAGGGAAAATTCTTTGAGAAAACTTTCTTTTCTTTGACGTGACGTGACGCCAGCACAGGCGGCCGTGTGCCGCCTTGCTCTGTAAAATTATTTATTTATTTATTTATTTAGCTTCGCCTATAATTACACAATCAAACAACACGTACACACAACCATTTCTGTCCAACCCGAAAACGAGCAAACTTCAGCGCCCCTGTCTATGTTTCAACATGATAGTAAAACAAAAACATACACCCTTGACCGCTAACCTAGGACGGTTTAATTTTACAATTATTTTCATTTTAGAATAGCTTGATTTTTACAAGCCCAACATGACTTGGCATAGACCTAGACAAAACATATCCAAACGCAGCAAATACGCCCAGCCTCCACGTTTCAAGGTTGGACAAAAAGGTGACAACAACAAAAAGGCGGGGTCACCACAACAGCTTAAAACCAATTACTGTGGGCCCTTGGATACAGAAAACACACAACTAATATATAAATTGAAACTCATAATTGATAGTATACATGTACTAATAGCAACACGTTAATGGTTGCACAAGTTTTCGTGATGTGTTGCATTTTAAGCAGACTGTTCTCCACGTTCTGGCATCGTCTACATCATAGGATGTCTTGGCAGCGTTGTGGTAGTAGTCCAGCAACAATGTTCTAAATCGTACCAGTGAGAGATCTTTTTGCCTTAGATTTTCTGGCAGAGAGTTGTAAGTTCTTATTACTCTGATGAAGAAAGAGCGTTGGTATGTCAGCGTCTTGCATTTGCGAGGACGGAAGGAAAGCAGGTTGGTGTCAACCGAGGTTCTAGTGAGCCTTGATGGGATAATTGGCTGCGGAAGGATTTCGTTCGAGACAATTATAATATTGTTTACAGCTTTAAAGAAAAACATAATGTCAAGGAACTCGTGCCAGTAGGTTATTGGTAGTAAGTCTAAGGAGATCAGCCTGTCTTTGTACGTTTCTCCGCACACGTATGGTAATTTCAAAATGAACTTTGTAGCTCGTCGTTGGATGCGTTCTGTCCTCGTAATTAAGTCGATCGATTGTGGTGACCAGACTTGAGTGGCGTAACCTAGCGTTGAGCGAACAATTGATAGGTACAGTGTGCGGCGTATCTTAACATTTGTAATTTCCGTTGCAGCCCTACGCAGGAAACCAAGCATTTTGTTTGCCTTCGCACAGCGATCGAGGGTATGGTAAGACCAGTTTAACGCGTCCGTAATCCATATACCTAAATCTTTCTCTTTTTCGGTGACCACCAGGGACTTGTTATTGATCTTATATTCGTATTTGATAGGATTATTTTTCCTTGTTACACGCTGACATTTGCATTTGTCTTGGTTGAAGACAAGGCCAGAAGATGTTGACCAGTTCTCCAAACTACTCAGGTCACTTTGTAAGGAGATGGCATCGGAAGTAGAGTCAACGTTCTTAAATAGTTTCGTGTCATCGGCGAAGGAGGCGATCTTGGAGTGCTTTACTGTATCCGGCAGGTCGTTCGCGTACAGCAGAAACAGTATGGGACCTAATATTGAACCCTGTGGAACTCCTGACAGGACAGGTCTCGCGGAGGATGTAGCTCCTGGCACAGTCACACGTTGCTTGCGATTTATTAGATATGACTCAAACCAGCGAAGGAGTTTACCAGAGATGCCATAGACGTTCCTTAATTTGCTTATCAGATATTTATGGTGGACTTTTTCGAATGCCTTGGACATGTCCATGTAGACTACATCAGTTTGCTTGCCACCGTCCAGAAGTGAACCAATATAGTCAAGAACCTCTAATAGCTGAGTTGTACACGACTTTCCGGGAATAAAACCATGTTGGCTATCATTGATTAATTGCAGCAAATGATCACGTATATTTCTCAGGACACAACGTTCTAGTACTTTCGATATTATGGAAAGAAGGGAGATAGGTCTATAGTTCTCTACTTGGCTCTTTTCGCCTTTTTTGTGTACCGGAACAATGTTTGCTAATTTCCATTCATCAGGTATTTCGCCACAGCTTAACGACTTGTTGAATATTTGGGTGAGGGAAGGTGCAATCTGCCACGCAGTTTCTTTTAAAAGTCGAGATGGTATTCCGCCAGGTCCAGTAGCCTTGGTGGTGTCTAGCGCTAAGAGTGTTCTTGCGACTTCTTCTATTGTTAGTTGGAGGTCTGACTGTCCTGACGTTGAAGGTGGAGATGATGGTGGAGAGGAACGATCATCCAGGTTATCATGATCAGTGTTGAACACTGATGTGAAGTAGCGATTGAATAGATTGGCAATAGCAGTAGGAGTAGACACATCATAGGTTTGTGATGATTCAGGTTCAGCGGCATTTCTCATTGACATAATATCTGGAACACTTGATTGTTTATTGTTCAGCTTGAAGATCGACCAAAATCGCTTTGGGTTTGTTTGGAAGATGCCATCAAGAGAATTGTAAAATCTTTCACGACTTTCACGGACCATTTTTTTAACTTTGATTCGTAGCTCTTTAAATTTAGCAAGAAGGACGTCAGATGGAGATGATCTTAACTTCCGTCGCACCGCTTGTTTCTTCCTTATCTCGTGAATAATGCTTCCATTAATCCAAGGGGGAGAATTTCTACCTTTGATCTTCTTGGTTGGGATGTAATTTCTCACCACGCTAAGGAATGTGTTTTTCCATTGTTCCCAACAGTCATTAACATTTTCTCCTGAATCGATTATGTTCGAAAAATCAGTCATCAATAAGGCTGAACGTAGTCCGTCCATATTCCCTCTACGGTAATCAAAAACAGTTCTGTTCAGTTTAGGAGCTGCTTTTATGGACGTTTTCAAATTGAA